CCACGACATCTGCACGTCGAGGTTCACAAAGTGCTGTGGCTGCCACGAAATCTGCACTTCAAGGTCCACAAAGTACTGCACCTGCCACAAAATCTGCACTCTTCAAGGTCCACAAAGTACTGCACCTGCCACAAAATCTGCACTCTTCAAGGTCCACAAAGTACTGCACCTGCCACAAAATCTGCACTCTTCAAGGTCCACAAAGTACTGCACCTGCCACGAAGCCTGCAAACGAGCCACATCCAAAACTCACGATTCACTGCACCTGTCACGATTGGAGCGCGTCGAAGATCGCCACCATGTCCAAAGTACTGCGCCTGCCACGAAATCTGCATTACCGCTCCGATCCCTTGCACCTGTCACGAAATGTCGACTTTGGACCGCCAAAGCACGAGCTTTCCCGTGTGCCTGCCACGAAAAGTGACCACTATGTCCGAAAATGCCACAACGAGAGCGCAGTTGCGACAAGCACCCGCCGCGGACACCCAGATTCTGCAAGCCTGCACAGTCGAAGTGCACTTCGAGGATTTCGAGGCATGCATGTTCTGTAAATAGCAGCGAACTAGCCGCGCACGCCCACGCAACACCGGTGATTAACCCCTACCGTAAGAACCCCTAGTGTGACCACACTGTTTGGGGAAACACACAACCACAAACACAACCACAAACACAACCACACACCCACAAACACAACCACAACACACACACAGAGCGACAACACACAACCACAAGACACAACCACAATCACAGCACACAACCCGAGGACCCACAAACAATGTCGAGAACCACCAAACTCACGACCATGCCAACATGCTCCTCATGGCATGAGGACATATGAATACACATGTCATAGTGGGGATCACTCGACCACAACCACAAACGACCCAATTGTGGCACCTCTTGCTCAAACAAATGCTATAGTGAGTACATAATAGTACATAATTGTTGTTTTTCTCACACCTTCCAATCCTTCCGAAGCGACCGGACGTGCTGTATTGCTGTAGGCCTTCACGGGGCCGTTGTGCCGGTCGGGTCAGGTCTGGTCAGCTCGCCTTTGATCCATGTCTCGTAGTAGCAGGGATTTGAAGTGGTCCTGAGCGACAGCGCGGTGGATGGCCGCCGGTCCCGCCGCAGTGAGCGCAGCGCAGGGCGGACGAACGCGGGAGAGCGTTAGACCAAGCATGTCGGTGGAAACACTCCGACCGGGGAGAAAGTCCATCCGCCATGGCAGCGCACACAAATGACATGGCATGCTGTGGCTTTTGGAGTCTTTCAAAAGCAATGACATGCCCGGCAGCTGAGCTGCCCAGTTCTTCCTTCAACATCTCTTCCAAAGCACAAAAGGGCAGGACTAGCAACTATACACTCGGTAGTTGTCTCAAAGGCATATCATCCTGGAATTTGCCGAATTAAGAGTCTTTGCGAAAACCTGGAGCACGCAGCTGGAATAATTGCTTGAAATATATAGATCCCGCATGGATTTATGATTTTCCAGCATGTGATGCAAATCTTCCTTATCAAGCTGGGCACGCTGAGGTTCTATTTGAAG